CGCATACATAGTATAGTTTCCCCTTAATAGGGAACCAACCTGAGCTCGGAAGGTGCGCTTCGAAGACAGGTCGCTGTGAAGTCTATTGATCTGTCGCGCGAGCGCGCGCGTGTTCCGAAGGCGACGGCTATCGGCGGAGGCCGAGGCGGCGGTTTGCTATCGGCTTTAGAGCTCGCGCAGACAGCGCGCCGCTCCGTGCGTCCCCGGCGCGCCGCGGGCTGACGAAGCCGGGAATGGAGACGCGAGCTCCGGATAGAGCACGGACAGAAAGAGGGATCGCGCGGAAGTCGACGCAGAGGAGACAAGTGCTGTTCTTGGCGAATAGAGACGCCGAGACCGAGCGATCGTATCCGAGTGGCGGTGTCTGTCGCAGAACTGAAATAGAAGCAGTCTCCTGATCCCCGCTGCCTTCGGTTTTACCGACTGGTTTCCTCTAGGGATTGTTTGTTTGTTTGTTTGCTTGTGCTTCTACAGATGTAAATTCAAATGCGTGCTTAAGAAGCTCTGCTATTTTATAAGAACTTAATAGAAGTTAACCTTTGTAAACAATAATTGATGGACGTGAAAATTAAAGATGGACGTGACAAGGCTTATCAAAAGACATGTATGTATGAATGAATGTACTTTAGCACAAGAGGTCCTTACAATTCAAGGCCTACCAAATCAAAAGACTTACATAATAAACAATAATTGTTAATTATGCATGTTTTTTGATAAGCCTTTTCGCGACCTCCGATTTCCTTTTGTGAATTTCTCTCTTTCTTTCTTTCTTTCTTTCTTTCTCTTCCTCTGTCTCTCTCTCTCTCTCTCTCTCTCTCTCACACACACACACACACACACACGCATATATACACACACATACTACATATGAACATACAAAAGTTCCCATTAAGACTATACATACATTCATTAAAACTTGTCCGCACACTTTTCCTTCGACAAGAATGATCACTTTGATTTTCCATGTCCCACGAACATTTTCAGTCTTTCACCTGATATTTAGAATTTGGATATTTTCCTGGAGCAATATTTCTTTTTTTTTTTCAAAAGAAAGATGGATTGCGTGGAAGTCAACGCGTAAGCAGAGCACAAGAATTGCGGAATAAGATTAATTTTCGTCAAAGGTGCCAAACCTTCACAACCGTGCCCAAATCATGGTGTCCACCCGGAAAGCGAAACAACAATCTCAAAGAACGTTAAGGTGTTTAAGATATTAAGCTTATTCTCTTCATGTTTGTTTTTTATCTATTTTCTCAAGCAGTAGATTGAAGCGCTAAAAAATATATATATTTCTTCTAATTGAACCGGTATTACCACAACTAATAAATAATGAGTGTGACGAAAAATAACATAACGTAAATAACATGCGCGGTAATAGGTCCTTTAACTCGTTCCCCCTTTCTGCCGACATATTCCTTGTTCGTTTCACCAATCTCCGAACAGATTATTAGTTCACCTGCATCCATCTACGCCTGCGGAAGTGGCTAGCCTGTGATTTTTCGCGGTATACATTTTGATTGTTTTCTTTGTAGGGATTATTTCTGGAGGTTAGAGTGTGCGTATCTGAATGGAGAACTTGAGCAAAAGGAGAAAATGGTGTTATTTCTTGTAAAGTAGGGAGGCTGTGAATAACCCACCGTATCGATGTCGCGGTGTTTACGCGGAAGAAGAAATAAAAAAGACAATATTCATGGATATTTCGATTTTAGACGTGTCTCTTTACGTTTGTTCTTTTAATACTTTCTTTGAGCAGTAAGTTAAAATGTTTGTGAACAAGAAGCGTTAATTGCATCAATGAGATTGACGTTAGATATGACATTTACAAATACTTTAATGCTCAAGCTCATCGGTTGCAATGTCGAACTGTCTTCACCGTTCACACAGTCCCACTCTAATTGTTCTCACAAATCTTTCACTATTCTTGTAGCAAATACTAGTGCCTCCACACAACGTAACATATAAATAATTTTAAACGTGTTTCATATACTTTAAACTGAGTATTCATGTACCGAGGATTTCAATTAAATTATTATTGTTAATGAATTTGTTCGTGTACAGCTTGTTAAACAATTTACTTTTAAAATGCTTCTGGAAATGTTCTTTGTAGCTTATTTTGAAATGATCGAATAAAAAACCAGAGAAATTCCTCCTTTAAAGTTAATTAATTCAGTACGTTGACAAGCCCTATTGAACTAAACTGCTTCTTTTTGACTATTCAGTCCTCTCTTCATTCTCCACGCTCTGCATTTCATTTGACGTGTCACCAGTCTCCCTATCTGCTTAATATCATTGGAATGAATTACTTGAACATCGTTTTGAAAGCTGACAATTGTCCTTTTAGGAAGAAATACGTATTATTTCAACGACATTGTTCATGCTATCATGTGTAATAAGTTCACCTTAGTTATTTACAAAACTCAGAAGTGAAATTAGCCTAACGTTCCTTATTTACTTTCTAGGTCGGATAATTCTCCCTCCGTAATCAAAATGTATCTGAGAGACTGAAATCAATACCTTATTGTTCCGCAAACAAAAAGTCGGTGCACTAAATGAAATATGTGGAGTTGCACATTAATCATCTCTCTTCCGTTCACTTTCCATGTCTTCCACAGTCCACTCTCCACCCATAATTATCCTCCTCTTTCTCTCCGTCCGCCGACCCAGATCCACCGCGCCCACCTGCGGCGGTGGGCTTCGCACGCGGCGCTGTTTTGCCCGCTGTCACGCCGGCGCGGTGTGGCGCGGGGGGAGCGGAAGGGGCACCGCGCCATTTATCTGGGCCGGGACGGCGACGGCGCGGCCCGGCGCGGCGGGTTTTGTGCCTCGCCCTGCTCCGTCCTTCCTCCGGCTTCCACCTCTGCCCCCGAAGGCCCCGCCCCCTCCCCGTCCCGCGTCGCTCACGCCGACCTGTCGCCCCGGATCCCGGCCACGCTCTCCCTGCTGCTCTGGTTGACGTTAGCTCAGAGACAGCGCTGCTGCCGTGTCTGCAGCCACGCTGGCTGGGAGGTCCTAGGGTTCGGGTGTGAATTGGGGTGGATTTTTGACATTGGCTCAATCGTATTCAACTACGGTTTGGGGGAGAATTCTGGTAGTAGACTGTTCTGATTGGTAGTTTTGCCTGCTTTGCCTGATGATAAATATTGGAGCATTACCCTAATAAACGAAACGTGGACTGCGCTGAATCGTTCCTTTCTCTTCTTTCTCTCTTACTTAAACACGCACACACACACACTTGTCAGTGTAGTAGTGTAGTGTTCCTTACTAGTCACTCCCTACTAGTCAGGAGATTAGGGTTTTTGTTCCGACTGTGTTGATTCACCACTAGGGAGAGATCCCTGGATGGGGAAATCCTTGTAAGCCGACGTGCAGGTAAGCGCCAGATATCAGCATCCAGTGGGCAAGATATAACCGCCACCTCCCAGAATAAAACAGTCAGTACACTAAGGGACAAAACGGGGCACACACGGGACTTCCCGGAAACACCCTGCCTACCTGCTATTAGTATGTCATCCTTAAATAGCACAACTGTCTCTGCGTTCCCCGTCGCCATGCCTATCTCGTTCCTGACCCTTGTGCCCCGCCGCCCTGCTGCCCACTCCCATGTGACCGCAGCCCCCTCCCCACCATTTCATACCACTGTCTACCCGGTCCCTATTACCACTGCCAGCTTAACTCCCACCGCTTGCCCCGACGCCTACGCTGCCCATGTTCACCTGTGTCCTTCACACTCTCCCACTACCTGAATCCCGCCGGCTTCCGACCCACTACCGCCTCCCACACTCTAACTTCGGTGCCCTGCTCCTGTTTAGAACCAGCCCCAGCAAGGTCAGTGACTCCCGTGCATTCCTGTCGACACCCTACAATAACACGATTCCGACATCACACTCCGGTCCCCCACCACCATCACCATCTCCATCTCACCAAGACTATCTACCATTCACTGCCCTCGCCTTACTGCGATACCTCCTGAAGAACATCATTCTCCACCTTATCGCCACTATCCATTCCCACCCCGTTCCCCTCAACACTCCCACTCCGCTCCTCCCTATCGCATACACACGCTTCCTCGCCGTCGTAGACGCATGACCGCAACCATAGCACACCTTTCGTCACGTTTATCCACACCCTGTTTCAATCAACTCTGTCGCCGCTCTTGACGCTCCCTCCTAGACGGCCGCGGTCGCCACAGCCGCTGCCTCCTCTGCCATATCCCTCCCAGTCATTCACTCGCCGGGTGGCCTTTGAATTGGCGCCGCGCCCTGGCGCGCAGTCCGCTCGCCAATCGCCTCCTCCCGTCCCCGTGCTTTTCCTCACTTGAATCATATTTTGATAACACGCGCAAACCATTTACCTCATAGCAATGATTTCGTGAGTGTGACAGTGTTTTTGTGCTTATTTTAATATTTATTTTCGTACACTTACAAAATTATTTTGTTTGTACGAATATATTATTGTTTTGGAATAATTTGATGTTATGGAACTATTTTGTAAATCTGGAATATATCCAAAGTTAACACGTCATGAAAATATAATTTTATCTGGTACGTTATTAGTCAGCTTTCTATCGAGTAAAAGTTTTAGAATATTTAAGATAATGCTGTATTCCCCAAACACGATACAAGACAAACGTTGTACGTTCAGCATTTTTACGAACTAGTTACCGTCTTCTTTCTTACATAGAAATAGTTTTATGCATGAATTTATTTAATGTTTATATTTTAAGGAGGAATTATATCCCAAAATTATTCAAGCTGGTCTGAGCACTGACGTAAAAATAGCGATCAACGAATAACTGCAACTTTAACACGTTTCTGTTGTCAGTATTGCACGTCGACTATTCATAGAACATGTATGTTGAAGTGCAAATCACATATTTGTGTAGAAATTCATGTAGTTCTTCTTAAAGAGAGGGATTCTTTTCCTTAACTTTTCATGTAATCGCATATATGACGTGTCTGAGCAAAGAGGAGGTTGTACGGGATTGAGTCTAGGGGCGGTGGATGGGTGAAGGGGAGGGGGGATGGACGCTCTCGCATAGCGGTGCACTCAAAGGCGCTTCGTCGCTCTCTGATCCGCAGCCAGCGCTGCGGGATGCGGGAGGCGGCGGCGGTGGCGGCGGCGGCAGCAGCGGCTCTGGCGGCGGCGACGGCGGCGGCGGCAACGCTGCTGCTGCTGGCGGCGACAGGCGGCGCCGGGCGGCGGTGGCTGTTGGCCGGCCGGCCGGGCCGGCGGCCTCCGGAGGCGGTGGAGCGGCGGCGGCGGCGGAGGAGCGCAGAGGCGGCCGCGGTGGCCGCGGCAGCGGCGGCGGCCGCAGCGGAGGCAGCGGCGGCGGCGCAGCAGCGGCGGTAGAACGCCGAGGCGGAACGCGGAGGCGGCGGCGGCGGCACGCGAGCGGAGCGGACGGGGCGGCGGCGGAGAGCGCGACGCGGCGGCAGCGCGGTGGCGGCGGGGGCGGGGCGCCGGGTTGGGGCGCACCGGCGTGCGGCGCGCCGCGCGACGCGGGGCCTGTGGCGGTCGCGCCGCGCGCCGCGCGCGCGGCCCGCTGTCGCCGCCGCTGCCGCCGCCGGTCACGGCCCCGCCACCCGTGCTGCCCCCGCCGCTCGCCCGCCCCCGCGGCTGTCGCGCCTCCGAGTTCCTCTGCGACACGGGCCAGTGCGTGGCGCTGGACCGCTTCTGCAACGGCGCCGACGACTGCGGGGACAAGTCGGACGAGCCTCGCTACTGCACCCGTGAGTACCAACTCTTCTATTTCATATATAATTAATTACGCAACGTCTCCAGTTGGTGAACTTTTCAATTACTTAATGTCACACTCAGCAACAGTTTATTTATGTCATTTTAAAGTACTTGATTGGATTAGTATGGTAAAGTGTTTAATTCAATTTCAAAATAAAGTACTTAAGTGGACTAATATGGTAAAGTACATCATTACGGTATTAGTGTGGTGAAGTAATGGTGACTACTACTAACCATTTATGTACGTATTCTTTTCCAAATATTCTAGACTTTCTTGCTGAGTAACCCACACTTTCTGTTTTCAAAATCGATTACAACTTTGTAAACTTATTTTTTTTAATATCTGTAAATTAAATTGTGTAATGTGTCCAAAGGCTACTCGTAGCTTCTTTCTCCGCTTTACCAGTGAAGAAATCCATCATATTTGTTTTTATGGTTAAGAAGACGTATGTCTTTGAAGTGGAATTCATGTTTTTTACGTATCACTACTTAAATTTCTCGTACTTATGTTCATATAGGTGCCTTAATTTTTCTCGAATTAATGTTGGAAGTTGCTACTATTTTGATATCTTAATTTCACCTTGTCATTCATATGTAAATTGCTACTGTTCTTCTTGTTGAAAACATTGTAACCACTTACAGAAAAAAAAATCGTCAAGACTAAATGAATGCTTAATACCAAATGTCAAATTAAATATATTGAAGTTTTACAAGGTGGATAAACTTTCTGCGATACCGTAACATATAATTACAAAGCACATTTAATTTTCATACTAGGTGTAATTGCCTCGTTTGTCATTTTTTCAATCTCATATTGAACATTACGACAAATATATTGCAAATAACTACTGTCAATGTGACAGAAATAAGTAAATCAACAATCGCGAATTGATTCATATTTATAAAGCATTTTTTCACAATTTATATATTTGCAGATGATGAACCATTCTTCTTATTTTAGTGCCCTGAAATATTAATATTTTGTAAATAAATATATTTTGAAACAATATTAATTAAATTATTGCCGATGGTATGACATTCAGTAGCGTTCTCGTGGTACTACATGAAATAGATCATTTCACGTGTTCGCAAACCACCAGCGCATATACTAACACGCAATACTAACAAATTTATTTCGTTTATGAAAGAGTTTGGAATAATGTGTAAACGATTGTCGAAAATTATTTATAATTCAGTTGACGGAATCAGCTTTTAATTTTCTTCACTATTTCAGATATTAAATCGCCGGTAACTTCGGACGTACACGTTCATAATTTATTTAAAGAGAAAGAAATAATAGAAAAATATATCAATTTATTCATTTCGTGTTATATTAGCCGTTCCAATACTTTTATTGTATTTACGTATGAATTTTTCATACGTACTATACTATTATAATCTATAATATGAATTCTTAAAAATATATTTTTTTTATAAATACGGTTCGTGTTTAGTTACTGTGGTTGTGTGCGAGGTGCACAGTTTCGTCTTTAAGAAGTTCATGAATCAAGTTCAACCTGCACTCGTGACAACATTATTATGTTTTCTACAGTTCTCAATTCGTGATATTTGCATTATTGATTGCTCTGAAAGTTGTTACCAAGAATATGAATGTAATTTGCGCCTTTCTCTGTATATCACGGAGAATAAATCAAACGCATTTGAAATATTCTTAAATACCAAATTTTAACTAAACATCGAGTTGCCTGATTTCCTATTGAAATTACAATATAGGTCACCTCATATTACGTAGATTATACATATCCATTATGTAAGTGCGTTTATTGCAACCGATATATCTCGAGAGTGTATTTTAACTTCAGATGATGAATGGTTCTTTAATTGCTTCATAATCGGTGCTGGAGGTTCTTTTGCATAGGCATTCTCTGCAAATAACCGTGTCTACTCTCATTCTGGGACTCTTTAATCGCTGGGCCAAAATTTGCACCTCTTTTAGTAATAACAGACATTTGGAACCCATTAATCATAAATAAGACCTGTGTTGACATTCCTTTTCCTGAACATATAGTGGGAAATTTCTAAGCATCTTGATTTACGTCATTCATTTCTAAAGAACAAAAACTGAAATTCAGAATTTTTGTGCAAAACAATAATAATTTCGCTCTCAAAATAATACTTTTATCGTTCAACTTTTATTATGAGAAGCTGTTATGTTAAGAAAATGAGGGAAGCAGATTAATAAAATTAAAAATTAAAATCTATGTGGATGAAAACATTATGGTTCTAAAGAAATGTTCTAGACTTTGCTTGACATGAGCTTTCTTGTGACATTATAGAAATGTATATATAATGGGAAATTAGCTCATAGTTCGGCCTTGAGAATAGAAATAGGTTGAAAAAGCAAAACAGCTGTTCTTGTTCGGTTCAGGTTTGTTGTGTAAAGTTGTCTTTAATATCTGCCAATAACTGATTGAAGGAATTACTTATTATCTTACCAATCCTTAATAGATGTTTTATATTTTCGTTTTAACAACGTTTAGAACACATGGACTTACGAGATATAAGCATTTTCCCAGAACATTACTGGATCTTGTATTAAAATTAAAAGATAAAATTTTTTTTCTGGCAAAAATTAGCATTATGTACAGCACTCAGGGCAGACCAGTTAAATTAATTCCGCCAGTCCGCTGAAATAGCTAGATAGCTTCAACATGCATTCGTAAAACGCCCTTCGTAAATGCAGTTCGCCAAAGCACACTATTGAAACGAAACATTTTTAAAACCTTCCTGTTCCACTCAATGCATCTCTCATCCAATCCCAACAAATCAATTGCAGTGCAACGTCAATACGAAAAAATCAAAAAACAATTCTGAATTTAATTAATTACAAAAAATGTTTCTTTATTAATTGGATTGTTGGTGAAGTAGATACCTTTTTATTATGATAAATAAATAAAGATATTGTCAGGTATCAATATTTTAATTCAGCTAATGATCATTTCGATCGCGTAGTGATCATCCTCAGAGCTAAAATGTGAAATACAAATATTATTAACAGGTTGTAGTTATTGTATACAAGATGCAAAAAGAATGAAATGGGACCGATTATGAAAGATGCTGAAAAAATACGTTTGCAAATTTCGTCAACTCTCACTTCAAGCAGCAAATCTTTAAGATCACCGCAGTAATCCATGCAGTCACTGACGGGTAAAACTATTTCCTAATGGATTCACTCATGTAAATGTGTAGATGACGTAACACAGCGTTGATCTGGTGTATATGTATGGCGCGCCCGTTCCGCTCCCCGATCTAACCTACCTCGTTGTGCTAGGAAACTACCAACAATATGATCCGCAATATTCCGGTTTCCAGAAACAAAAGTGTCGGAGTGTAACCAAAGTTATAACATTTTGTAGTCGAAAATATTCCTGACTTTTCTTGGCTTTTCAAAAGTGATTGCAAAACACTTGAAATATACCTTTGGGGTGGTTCAAAAGTTCCTGTAGAAGAAACATATATTAATTCCAGTTTATATATTTAGATTATAATAAACCTCTTCTAAACTCATTTATTTGAGATAACCAACTATTTTATAGGAGTATGCAGATGCGTATATGTTTTCGCAGCCAAAGAGAGCAAGTTGTTGGTTGTACGGGAGTCGGGGCGTTATAAACAAAGTTAGTACAACCATGCCTAGACATTCGTGCCTAAACGATGACAACCAACCCTAGAACATAGTGTCTTCCTGGCTGTCAAACATTCTTAGGTAAGTGCTCATCTTAGGTAAATACATTTGTGAAAGCGACGTATAACCATAATAATCTAAAAATACCTCAAACAAGTGATGAAATATAAACCACAATCTTTATTTCGCATGTGCCAAAAGGGTCATCATTTAGATTAAACAATCGAAATATCTAACGATTCAGATCACTCAGTTAATGACAACAAACACTGTATTTCCAGTTACTTATTTCTTACCTACAGGTGGCTGGTCAAAAATCATGGAACGATATAAATATTTCATTTTTATAATTCATTTTGGTGCTAGAAAACAATTATATTTATTTAATATTATCTTTAGTTTTTTACGTTTCTAAGTTTCCTTTATTTTCGTTTCATTTATTATTCTCAAGCTGGAGACCGCCGTTCTAAGGGGGACCGCGGACGCAAAGTGGTTTTAGATAGAGACTCAAGGTTCTACCCCGTAACAGTTTGGGCCATTTCCTACAGTTACAACGTCTTAATGATGTACTCGAATTTAGTTCCTCTAATGTGTGCATAAACGCTTGTGTACTCTGCATTACAGGACTCCACCGCCGTGTGGATGGAAGGGTAAGTCCGCTGTGTTCTCAGAAATCGCACGCACGTGTGAGCAATCCGCCAACTTCTCTGTCCAGGAAACTGGCGGCGCAGTCAGATTTCTTCCTGTATAGATCGTATTTTTACTACAACTCTTGTTCATTTATTTGCTTTTACAAAATAATTTTGTACTGTGACATCTGTTTGCAACAATGCTGCATTTGGGGTTTATTTGAATTATTGTCAGTGGATTTAGTTTAACCTGACAGTGCTTTCACAATTTAACTCATGTAGCTATCCCGCAATCATCAGTATTATAAATCCTAGCGCGCGTCGCAGACCGGGATATTAAATCCCCCTATCTTCGTAGATTTCGTAGTCGGCTGCGTGCACAAACGTGCAATAGTCTTCGTGCATATAACCGCAACTGACGCGTTTCACTCAAACTGAGAAACCGAATTCTACCGAAAATACTTCCCACGAAAATTATCAAATTGTACCTCCAGATGTGTCAATAGCATCGCAGTTTGTAGTGACCCGGTCAGTTCTTTTTATTCCTTTTAGAGACGTTCTACCCGATAAATCTCTTATATCCTTTAAGCACGAGCAATAATTTGCGATGAATCTCCTAGTTTTTATTTTGCTTCCTTTTCTCAAATTTTACGATACAATCCCAGAAACGCATATTAATACAGATGTTAAGAAAATATTTTGCTCATGGACGTTAGAT